GGTGCATGCCCCCCTTTGAGTTTCCCCCCCCCCCCCCCCCCCTCCCTCCCTCCCTCTCTCCTCTGTTCACAGACGGCTACGCATGAAAGCTAAAAGGCAAGAAATATCTGAAAAAAGTTCGTTCTAAAAGAAATCACAATCTGTTTGACATTCCCGTTCTGGCGTGTTCTCGTGCATTCAGCACGAATGGAGAAGTGAATGGGTGGGAGTCTATCCTCATCTGGTTAAAAAAAAAAAAAATTGGTATCGCCTGCCATCTTTAAACTGGGAGTCACCCCGAAGAACTTGAGCTTCGAGGCGAAAAAGGGTTAGGTTTGTTTTGTTGACAGCTGCAGGGAAAGCGGTTTCCCCCACGGTGAGTCTCAGGCGGATGATTTAGTCCTTGCCGCTCCGATTGCACCTGTTGCGTTACGTGTCGTGACTGCTCGTCGTAGAGGCCTGCAGAATGGCGATCACCGGATGTCGTGTGATGGGTTCGTTCGGTTCTGCACGATAGAAGTTAATGCATAACTTGGATTAAAATCGAGGAGGTATGTAATTGGATCCCCTAAAATAGAGCTTTAACTCGTCAAAATTGGCTTAAATCCGTGGATATCTTTCCTCTCGAGCTCTCGGTGAACGGGCGAACGAAATTCATGTTCACGTGGGATCTCTCCGGGAAAGACCGCTGGCTTCTCGAGAAGTTGAGAAAGAATTTCTCCACGAACGAATGAAGTTTGTTTGGTACGATGCGTAGAGGAACTGAAAAGACGGTGCACGCGCGGAATACGAGAGTCGGACACGGAAGGGAAACGACTCGGACGATGACCGCTGCCATTTCCGGACACGTTTCGTAAGCAAGGATCGCTTCGTAAGCAAGGATCCCCTGTATGCAAGGAATGCTGCGGACAGGCCTGTCGTGAGGGTGGAGCCTTGGCACTGGACTCTGATCCTTCGTCGATCGAAGCCCGCTGCCCTCGGCGTTCCCTGCCCCCTCCTCGATCCCGCCTCGCTCCAGACCTCCGCGAACCCGTCGGACCCGGACCACTCGATGCCTCGCGCGGTCCAGCTTCATCCGATCGGCTTGGGAATCGCGCACCCCGTCACCCCCGCTCCTGCCCTTGCGTCACGTCGCCACCCCGATCGTTTGTCCGAGCTCGGCAACGGTGAGTCGGGAGCTCGAGTTGGAGCTAGAATCGGTCGCAGCGTGTAGGACCATCGACGTCACCTCTGCTGATACCTGGGACTCGATCGCCCTTGTATTTTCCCTCATATATACCCTATCATTGCTCGGAGAATGGGGCGAAAGCGACCGACTATAGGCCCGATTCTTTCGCAATAGCTGCCTCTAAACACTTGACGATCGCAAATTCCGTCTCGTATCGACCACAGTGACGTAGTAAGGAAGGGGAGGGGGAAGGGGGGGCTGAGCCCTGAAAACTCAGGTTGGCGTAACCCCAGGGAGGGGGACAGCTAGAGAAGATTTCAGCCCCCCCCCCCCCCCCCCCCCCCCCCCCCCCCCCCC